TAAAATCATTTGCGAACAAGCAAGTACTTAGAGATTTTGTCACCACCAGGTCTGCTTTATAAGAGCTCCTGAAAGAGGCACTACACATAGAAAGGAACAAGCAGTACCAGCCATTCCAAAATCACACTAAATCCTAAAGAGCATCAACATAATGAAGAATCTACATCAACTAATGGGCAAAACAGCCAGCTAGCATCAAAATGGCAGTATCAAATTCACACATAACAATATTAACCCTAAATGTAAATGGACTAAATGCACCAATCAAAAGACACAGACTGGCAAATTGGATAAAAATCCAAAACCCATCAGAGTGCTGTATCCAGGAAACTCATCTCACATGCAAGGATACACAAAAGCTCAAAATAAAGGGATGGAGGAAGATTTACCAAGCAAATGAAGAGCAAAAAAAAAGCAGGAGTTGCAATTCTCATCTCTGATAAAATAGACTTTAAAGCAACAAAGATCAAAAGAGACAAAGAAGGCCATTACATAATGGTAAAAGGATCGATAAAACAAGAAGAGCTAACGATCCTAAACATATATGGACCCAAAGCAGGAGCACCCAGATACATAAGGCAAGTTCTTAATGACTTACAAAGAGACTTAGACTCCCACACAATAATAGTGGGAGACTTTAACACTCCACTGTCAATATTAGACAGATCAACCAGACAGAAAATCAACAAGGATATCCAGGGCTTAAACTCAGACCTGGAACAAGCAAACCTGATAGACGTCTACAGAACTCTCCATCCCAAATCCACAGAATATACATTCTTCTCAGCACCACATCACACCTACTCTAAAATTTACCACATAATTGGAAGTAAAGCACTGCTCAACAAATGCAAAACAACTGAAATCATAACAAACAGTCTCTCAGACCATAGTGCAATCAAGTTAGAACTCAGAATTCAGAAACAGACCCAGAACCACACAGCTTCATGGAAACTGAACAACTGGCTCTTGAATGCTGACTGGATAAACAATAAAATGAAGGCAGAAATAAAGAAGTTCTTCGAAACCAACGAGAAGGAAGACACAACATGCCAGAATCTCTGGGACACATTTAACAGTCTCTAGAGGAAAATATATAGCAATAAGTGCCCATATGAGGAGAATGGAGAGATCCAAAACTGACACCGTATCGTCAAAATTGAAAGAGCTAGAGGAGCAAGATCAAAAAAACTCAAAACCTAGCAGAAGACAAGAAAGAACTAAGATCAGAGCTGAACTGAAGGAAATTGAGATAAGAAAAACCCTTCAAAAAAATCAATACATCCAAGAGCTGGTTTTTTGAAAAGATCAACAAAATAGACAAACCACTAGCCAGACTGATTAAAAAGAAAAGAGAGAACAACCAAATAGATGCAATAAAAAATGATAAAGGGGAAATCACCACAGTTTCCACAGAAATTCAAACCATCATCAGAGAAGATTAGAAACAACTCTATGCACATAAACTAGTAAATCTGGAAGAAATGGATAAATTCCTGGACTCCTGTGTCCTCCCAAGCCTAAACCAGGAGGAAGCTGAAACTATGAATAGACCAGTAAGAAGGTCAGAAGTTGAGGCAGCAATTAAGAGCCTACCACACAAAAAAAGCCCAGGTCCAGATGGGTTCACAGCCAAATTCTACCAGACACACAAAGAGGAGCTGGTACCATTCCTTCTAAAACTATTCCAAATAATCCAAAAAGAAGGAATCCTTCCCAAATCATTTTATGAGACCAACATCATTCTGATACCAAAACCCGGCAGAGACCCAACGAGAAAAGAAAACTTCAGGCCAATATCCATGATGAACATAGATGCAAAAATCTTCAATAAAATATTGGCAAGCCGATTGCAACAGCACATCAAAAAAATTATCCATCATGATCAAGTAGGATTCATCCCGGGGATGCAACGCTGGTTCAACATATGCAAGTCTATCAACGTAATTCACCACATAAGCAGAACCAAAAACAAAAACCACATGATTATCTCAATTGACGCAGAGAAGGCATTTGACAAAATTCAACAGCCCTTTATGCTAAAAACTCTCAATAAACTCGGTATTGATGGAACGTATCTCAAAGTAATAAAAGCTATTTAACAACAAACCAACAGCCAATATCATACTGAATGGGCAAAAACTAGAAGCATTCCCTTTGAAATCTGGCACTAGACAAGGATGCCGTATTTCACCACTCCTATTCAATATAGTACTGGAAGTTCTAGCCAGAGCAAACATGCAAGAAAAAGAAATAAAGCGCATTCAAATAGGAAAGCTGGAAGCCAAATTGTCTCTATTTGCAGACGACATGATAGTATACCTAGAAGACCCCATCGTCTCAACCCAAAAACTCCTGAAACTGATAAGCAACTTCAACAAAGTCTCAGGATATAAAATCAATGTGCAAAAATCACAAGCATTCCTCTACACCAATAACAGACTTACAGAAAGCCAAATCAAGAACAAACTGCCATTCACAATTGCTACAAAAAGAATAAAATACCTAGGAATACAACTCACAAGGAATGTAAGGGACCTCCTCAAGGAAAACTACAAACCACTGCTCAACGAAATAAGAGAGGACACAAACAGATGGAGAAACACTCCATGTTCATGCTTAGGAAGAATTAATATCGTGAAAATGGGTATACTGCCCAAAGTAATTTACAGAATCAATGCTATACCCATTAGCTACCATTGACTTTCTTCACAGAACTGGAAAAAACCACCATGAACTTCATATGGAACCAAAAGAGAGCGCGCATAGCCAAGTCAATTCTAAGCAAAAAGAACACAGTGGGGGGCATCACACTATCAGATTTCAAAGTATACTACAAGGCTACAGTAATCAAAACAGCATGGTACTGGTACCAAAACAGAGATATAGACCAATGGAACAGAACAGAGGCATCGGAGGCAACACAACATATCTACAACCATACAATCTTTGATAAACCTGACAAAAACAAGCAATGGGGAAAGGATTTCCTGTTTAATAAATGGTGTTGGGAAAACTGGCTAGCCATGTGCAGAAAGCAGAAACTGGACCCCTTCCTGACACCTTACACTAAAATTAACTCCAGATGGATTAAAGACTTAAACATAAGACCTGGCACCATAAAAACCCTAGAAGGAAATCTAGGCAAAACCATTCAGGACATAGGAGTAGGCAAGGACTTCATGAACAAAACACCAAAAGCATTGGCAACAAAAGCCAAAATAGACAAATGGGACCTAATCAAACTCCACAGCTTCTGCATGGCAAAAGAAACAGTCACTAGAGTGAATCGGCAACCAACAGAATGGGAAAAAAATTTTGCAGTTTACCCATCTGACAAAGGGCTGATATCCAGAATTTACAAAGAACTCAAACGGATTTACAGGAAAAAAACAAACAAGCCCATTCAAAAATGGGCAAAGGATATGAACAGACACTTTACGAAAGAAGACATATATGAAGCCAACAATCATATGAAAAAATGCTCATCATCACTGGTCATTAGAGAGGTGGAAATCAAAACCACATTGAGATACCATCTCACGCCAGTTAGAATGGTGATCATTAAAAAATCTGGAGACAACAGATGCTGGAGAGGATGTGGAGAAAAAGGAACACTTTTACACTGTTGGTGGGAGTGTAAATTAGTTCAACCGTTGTGGAAGACAGTGTGGCGGTTCCTCAAGGCCTTAGAAATAGAAATTCCATTTGACCCAGCAATCCCATTACTGGGTATATATCCAAAGGACTATAAATCGTTCTACTATAAGGACACATGCACACGAATGTTCATTGCAGCACTGTTTACAATAGCAAAGACCTGGAACCAACCCAAATGCCCATTGATGATAGACTGGATTGGGAAAATGTGGCACATATACACCATGTAATATTATGCAGCAATCAGAAATGATGAGTTCATGTCATTTGCAGGGACATGGATGAATCTGGAGAACATCATTCTCAGCAAACTGACACAAGAACAGAAAATGAAATACCACATATTCTCACTCATAGGCGGGTGATGAAAAATGAGAACACATGGACACAGGGAGGGGAGTACTAAACACTGTGGTCTATTGGGGGGAAAAGGGGAGGGCCAGCGGGAGGGGGAACTGGGGAGGGAGAGCCTGGGGAGAAATGACAAATGTGGGTGAAGGGGAGAAAGGAAGCAAAACACAATGCCATGTGTGTACCTATGCAACTGTCTTGCATGTTCTGCACATGTACCCCAAAACCTAAAATGCAATAAAAAATAAAAAAATAAAATTAAACACTAGTTTTTCTAGCTTCCCTTGCAGCCTACAGTGGCCATATGGCAAAATCCTCACCAATGAGATAGAAACCAGTCTGCTAAAATGTTCCAAGAAGGCTTAGGTGAGGATGAATGTGGTTGGTTCTATTCTTTCTGCCTCTTTTGGCTTTTAAAACAGTTAAGAAGTGAGAAAATTGAACTGTTTAGGGCCCTGCAAGTCTGCTATGATGTTACTTAAAGCCAAACCAGTCCTATGTAATAAAGTCATGCAGTAGTGTAAGCACTTTACAAGTACTACCACAACTAGAATCATTTGAGGTCTATAGATAATTTAAGAGTGCACTTGTCGAACAGTGATCAATTGTGTTCTATTGGCTACAGGATTCTGGTAATGTTCCAATGGTCTAACACTGACTCAGTCTTCACAGCTTTTAAGCAAAACTAATTAAAAGAAACAGAATAATTAACTCACAGCCTTTATTCTTTACCCTATGAAGAAAACCATACCAACTGTGCAGAAATTCTGAAATATATTATGAAATAAGTAGAAGATAGGTCAGTAAAGATTGGCTAGAATCACAGAGTAAATGCTCATATAGCTGACAATATAAAAATGGAAGAACCCAGACTGCTTTAATAATCAAAAAAGCACAAGTTACCATTTCCTTTTTTACATGAAAATTGAAGATCCAAAGTCAGAAACAGTAATATTAGTTGGGTAAAAAAATAAAAAATTCAAACAAACCTTTTGATTTTCCAGTATTTCTTCTCTCATATGTTGATTTACAGCAATTCTGGTTAGAGATCTGGAAAAATGAATACTAATATAATTGATCCTTCATTAAATGTTTACAACTGAGCTATACAATTCAATGTAATCTAACATTTTGATAAGAAGTTCAAAACTCCAAATCCTTCATGACTGAAAAGTGTATATTTCCATATGGCCTAATTTAGCTTTCATTTGACAGAGCTGGTGGAATGGAGGCTCCCAAAATTTCATGTGTACTAAGTGTATACAGTATGGACTGTCATCATTTACTACTTATTTTTTGAAAACCCTTGATTGAGAAAGCTATTTTGTGTTGTATTGTCCAACAGAAAAATTTTGTATGAAATTACCAATGTATATGTACATGAATGTATGTACATGAAGAGTATTAGTTAACCTGGGATCTTACCAGAGTAGAAACGTCTAAAAACTGAAATGATGGCTTCACATTACTTATTCTTTCCATTTTTTTTTCAACTTTTTACTTAAAAAAAGTTTTTGGAGACAGAGTCTCACTCTATTACCTAGGCAGGACTGTAGTAGCATAATCACAGCTCACCGTAGCCTCAGATTCCTGGGCTCAAGTGATTATCCCACCTCAGCCTCCCAAGGATCTAGGACTAAAGGTACACACTACCATACCCAGCTAATTTTAAATTTTTTTTCTAGAGACGGAGTCTTGCTATGTTGCCCAGGTTGGTCTAAAACTTCTGGCCTCAAGTGATCCTCCCACCCCAACCTCCCAAAGTGATGAAATTGTAGGTGTGAGCCACTGCACCCAGCCTATTCACTCTTGAAGAGTTTATAATTCACTTATAATTTAAAGACAGCAGAAATGTTTAAAATACAGTTGCTATGAACTGTATTCAACTTGATAATTCCTAAACATGGCTAGTTATATATCTGTCAATTTTATAAATAGAATTTAAAAATTAAAAGATTGTTAAGGAAAAGTTCTGCTTTAAGGAAAACTCAAGCAGAAAATGGTACCTTAAACAGCATACAGTAAGTATGTATTTGTAAAATTTGGCATTAACAGAAATTACAATTAAAAATTTAATAATACAAATTTTTCATTTATTTAGCAAATATTTCATTTCAACAAACATTTACAAATTATCTACCAAATGATTTTGGAGATATGCTCAAGTCTATTTATCCATTAAGCAGTGTTAGCATATTTTATAAATTTTTCTTAATCAGATTAACAGCAGTTTTCTATCAGAACCTCTCAACAATTAGGCTGACTTAACCTCAATAGAGCTAAACAACTGTCTGATCAAGATTAAAGTTATTTTACTTTATTTGTATTTGATCTAATAATTTTTATAACTACCATTAATTAAAAGCATTATGGCTAAACCTATATGACATTTATATACACTCATATATATTTCATGTTTTATTATATAAATGCTGACTTCTCAAATTCTTAGCTGTTGAAATTAAAGTTGACTGGAAGAGGCATATCAATATATTCATTCTTAATCTGTAAATAAGGGGACAAACTCCTCTATTTCAAGACACCACCAAAAGATTCTTGGTATCTTGTGGCCAATCATGTACTATTTATTTACTTTCAAAATTAAAGAATACATATATTGAAGATTCTGTAATTTGTACTATGAACAAACGTACAAAATAGTGTCTGAGACAATAAAAGCCACAGCAATCATTCTATGCTTAAGAAGGTATGCTGAGATAGAAGACTGCTCTCCCATTCCTCTCAATAAAACACCATTGTTGCACATGCACTGTGACTTGTCACGTATTTTATCTCTCCAGTATATGCTAACTCATATTTTCCTTGTTGCTAATTTTATACTCTATCATTCCTACCAGAATACAATTGCATCAAAGTTGTGTTATTTTGTAAATTCTCATAAAACATGGTCAACTTGCATCGCATGCACTGCCCTCTTTTAAGATATGCAAATGTATTTCTTATTTAAATGGAATGTATGTTTAATGTAACATCAGCATATTTATGGAAGCAGTTCAACCAGCCATTCTCTTGGCAAAAAAAATATCCCACACAATATTCCGTGCAATTAAGACATGACAAATCATTGGAATCTGAAAGGGTAAGAATATTATTTGGCAGTACTTTGGGCATAGATCTCCGACTTAGAATAATACTTTTTATTATCCTCTATAAGGAAAAGAAGAAATCCTCCTTCATTATTTATTGCTTAAACAAGTTTTTCCTTAGATTACTATGTATGATTTTAGAAAAGTTTTTAAACATTTTTTTTCCTATTTGCTTCTAATAAGAGTTCCACTTTATAGTGCAGACACACATGCATGCACAAGCCAATATTTTGCTCTAATAAAAAAATCCATATATAATGAAGAGAGGCCCTAATTTCATAAAAGCTATATATACGAGAATTGACACCTTCATGTTAAATGAAATCAGCTATTTTCACAAAACTCATTTAATAGAAAGAGTTCTGGCTACAATGTAACCAATAAACTTTAACATACCTGGCTTTTATGGGGAAGTTCTGTGAAATGTCTTTCATTAATTTAATGGCATCATAAACTGGAGTGGACATTATTTGAGAAGCTGCTTGAAAACTAAGATCTGAAAGGAAAAATATTAAGGAATCTAGCATAATGTTAGACCTTCATAGACATTTCCATGAAATTGAAATAATTGACTCAATCCTTCTTGCCAAATATTAATATACAAACATGTTAATAGTGTTACATCTGCATTTTAAAAAAGCTTTAAATGGAAAGTTATCACTTAATTCCAAATAATGTAAGCTTTATACTGTTATCAATGAGTGATTATTATTTTCCACAAATTATAGTATTTCGAGATATATGAAGAGAAACACTCTCACAAAGCTATTTTTTCTATAGTTAAATGAAACATGACAAAAAGTATTAATAAAAATAACAAAATGGTGTAAAAAGAATTTTAAAGAGCCAGTTCTGAAAAGAACTTTAAGAGAATCCCACTGTGTTTAACTCAGTAAATAGAAACATTTGCTTTCTCTTTCAATTTGACATTGTCTTACCTTTACACTGAAATAAAATCCTAAACTTAGTATTATTTTATCTAATATGACAGTCCTATAAAAAGAAAAATGTGTGTTGCTAACTGTAGTTAGTTTCAAACATGTCAGAAGAATTAATCATAGTGTTATTACTTTGTCGAGAGTCAGAAAAGATTTAAAACTAAATTATTTCCTTACCTAATAGTGAGGCAGATTGTTTCTCCTTAATATTTCCTTAAAGGTGGAATCCTAATTTACCTAATACTACTAAAATAACTAGTTTAACACAGAAAGGCTAGTTTTATTCTTGCATTCTCAGTGTGAAATGATGGGTCAAAGCCTATAAAAGAATGACCTTAAGGTAGCCTGGCATGGAATGGCAGAGTCCGGCCGACCAGGTGATATGGTTTGGCCATTAAATCTCATGTTGAATTGTAGCTCCCATAATTACCACGTGTTGTAGGAGGGATCCACTGGGAGATAAATGAATCTTGGAGGCAGTTTCCCCAATACTGTTCTCATGGTAGTGAGTAAGTCTCATGAGATCTGATGGTTTTATAAGGGGTTTCCCTTTTCACTTGGCTCTCATTCTCTCTTGCCTGCCATCAGGTCAAATGTGCTTTCTGCCTTCTGCCACGATTGTGAAGTCTCTCCAGCCACGTGGAACTGTGAGTCCATTAAGCTTCTTTTTCTTTATAAATTACCCAGTTTAGGATACGTCTTTATCAGCAGTGTGAAAGCAGACTAATACAGTAAATTGGTACCAGTAAAGTGGGAGCACTACTGTAAAGATACCCGAAAATGATTAAGAAACTTGGGGACTGGGTAATAGGCAGAGGTTGGAACAGTTTGGAGGGCTCAGAAGAAGACAGGAAGATGTGGGAAAGTTTGGAACTTCATAGAAACCTGCTGAATGGCTTTGACCAAAATTCTCATAATGATATGGACAATGAAATCCATAATGAGGTGGTCTCAGATGGAGATGAGAAACTTGTTGGGAACTGGAGTAAAGGTGACTCATGCCATGTTTTAGCAAAGAGACCGGCAGCATTTTGCCCCTGCCCTAGAGATTTGTGGAATTTTGAACTTGAGGGAGATGATTTAGGGTATCTGGCAGAAGAAATTTCTAAGCAGCAAAGCATACAAGAGGTGACATGGTTGCTGTTGAATATATTCAGCTTTAAAAGGGAAACAGCATAAAAGTTCAGAAAATTGCAGCCTGATGATGCAACAGAAAAGACAAACCCATTTTTTGAGGAGAAACTCAAGCCAGCTGCAAAAATTTGTATAAATGAGGAGCAAATGTTAATCACCAAGACATTGGGGAAAATGTCTCCAGGGCATCTCAGAGACCTTCTCATCAGTCCCTCCCATCACAGACCTGGAGGCCTAGGAGGAAAAAAATGTTTTGTGGGCCAGTCCCAGGGGCCCTCTGCTGTGTACAGGCTAGGGAGTTAGTGTCCTGAGTCCCAGTGGCTCTAGTCATGGTTAAAAGAGGCCAAGGTACAGCTTGGGCTGTGGCTTCAGAGGGTGCAAGCCCCAGGCCTTGGCAGCTTCCATATGGTGTTAAGCCTGTGGAAGCATGAAAGTCAAAAATGAGGTTTGGGAACCTCTGCCTAGAATTTTAGAGGCTGTATGGAAATGTCTAGATGTTCAGACAAAAGTGCAAGGGTGAGGCGCTAATGGAGAACCTCTGCAAGGCAGTGCAGAAGGGAAATGTGGGATTAGATTGCCCACACAGAGTCCCCACTAGGGCACTGCCTAGTGGAGCTGTGAGAAGAGGGCCACTGTCCTCCAGACCCCAGAATGGTAGATCCACTGAGAGCTTGCGCTGTATGCCTGGAAAAACTATAGACACTCAATGCCATCATGAAAGCAGCCAGGAGGGAGGCTGTACCCTGCAAAGCCATGGGACAGAGCTGCCCAAGACCATGAGAACCTACTTCTTGCATTGGCACTGGATATGAGATATGGAATCAAAGGAGATAGTTTTGGAGCTTTAAGATTCCTCAAGGCCTTAGAAATAGAAATTCCATTTGACCCAGCAATCCCATTACTGGGTATATATCCAAAGGACTATAAATCGTTCTACTATAAGGACACATGTACACGAATGTTCATTGCAGCACTGTTTACAATAGCAAAGACCTGGAATCAACCCAAATGTCCATTGACAATAGACTGGATTGGAAAAATGTGGCACATATACACCATGGAATATTATGCAGCAATCAGAAATGATGAGTTTGTGTCGTTTGTAGGGATATGGATGAATCTGGAGAACATCATCCTCAGCAAACTGACACAAGAACAGAAAATGAAACACCGCATATTTTCACTCATAGGCGGGTGATGAAAAATGAGAACACATGGACACAGGGAGGGGGGTACTAAACACTGGGGTCTATTAGGGGGAAAAGGGGAAGGCCGGTGGGAGGGGAAGTGGGGAGGGATAGCCTGGGGAGAAATGCCAAATGTGGGTGAAGGGGAGAAAGGAAGCAAAACACAATGCCATGTGTGTACCTACGCAACTGTCTTGCATGTTCAGCTCATGTACCCCAAAACCTAAAATGCAATAAAAAATTAAAAAAAAAAAAAAGATTTCACTGCCCCACTGGATTTTAGACTTGCATGGGCCCTTTAGCCCCTTCATTCTGGCCAATTTCTCCCATTTGGAATGGATATATTTATCCAATGCCTGTACCCCCATTGTGTCTAGGAAGTAACTAACTTGCTTTTCATTTTACAGGCTCATAGGTGGAAGGGACTTGTCTTGCCTCAGATGAGACTTCAGACTGTGGACTTCTGAGTTAATGCTGAAATGAGTTAAGACTTTGGGGGACTGTAGAGATGACATGATTGGTTTTGAAATGTGAGGACATGAGATTTGGGAGGGGCCAGGCCCAGAATGATACAGTTTGACTGTGTCCTCATCCAAATATCATCTTGAATTGCAGCTCCCATAATTCCCACATATTGTGGGAGGGACCCAGTGGGAGATAAATGAATCATGGTGGGGGGCAGTTTACCCAATTCTGTTCTCATGGTAGTGAATAAGTTTCACAAGATCTGATGGTTTTACAAAGGGTTTCCCTTTTCATTTGGGTCTCATTCTCTCTTGCCTGCTCCCAGGTAAGACATGCCTTTTACATTTTATCATGATTGTTACGCCTTCCCAACCATGTGAAACTATGAGTACATTAAACTTCTTTTTCTATATAAATTACCAGTCTTGAGTTTGTCTTTCTCAGCAAAGTGAAAATGGACCAACACCCCAGGCTTCAAATTCTATCTGCATCACTAACTAGCTGAGTAACTTTAAACAGAATGTGTTCAACCTACCTCAACATGTTTCCAGTCCCCAGTAATGCAGTGAAACTACTACCAGTGCTAATATCTCCTGGTTGCCAAACGCAACATTTTTTAGTACTTATTTTACTTACTAGGTTCTTTTTGCAATAGGATCATTTCCTGCAAATAAGTAGTACTGATCATCTTTTATTTCTTAAGAATCTATTTCCTTCAGCTTGTATAACGTCCTTTCCATTTCTCATCATTCCACCATGTCTTCTTCATGAGTTTTACTTTCTACATGTGGATGAACACCAGGGCACTCTCCCTGGTGCACTGATTTTGTCATTCTGCACTCTCAGACACCATCCTCATTTTTTACTCTCAGTCAGCACACTCCTTTTCAACATCTTTATGCTAGGATTTTCAACTTTTAAAATCCTCTCTGTTCAGCTTAAGGACAGGATATTTACCCCATCACTGAACCTAACCATTTGGATATCTTACAATGACTTTAAGTCAACCTTTCAGCACTAGTCTCATTATTTCTGAGTTCCATATTTAGCCCCAAAGCCTGCTTACGTGTTTTATAGATTCTCTCTACTCAGGCTCAAGCTAGGAATCCTAGAATCATCTTTGAGTCCTTTTCACCATCTAAATATCTATATGCCTTCTACCACAGTCAGAGTTCAACCTCTCATTATACTCTATTACATGATTTCAATAAGGTCTAAATAGATTTCCTGCTTTTAGCAAATTCAAATACATCTTACAGACATTGGGAGTCAATTAAAACTAAGCTAACTATGCATACTCTCTGCTTAAAGGCCTTCAAAAGCACACCATCACTTACAATTTTCTAAAATATGCAAGGGACCCTAAGAGAACATTTTGGAGGAGGCTTAAAACATAACAATTATAATTTTTTAAAAGTGCTAAAATAGAGACATAAAAAAGGATTTAAAAATAATTGAAGATACTAGAGAGTATCTGAAATTATGGATTTGGGAATCCAAGCTGTATTGGAACTTAGAGAAGAGCTTCACAAACCATGATAAGAAGTTTGAACTTAATGCTTTTAATTGATGTGCATGAAATCAGTCCTTTATGATGCAAATGCCTTGGCTAGCTAGTCCTATCAACCCCTTCTTACATTTAAGTCTCTCCGGAGGTATTTGCTTTGGAAAAACAGATAAAACTTTCTCACATAAGAGGATTCCATACTTTCTTTGCCCTCCACATCCTGCTCCAGACCCCCAAAAGGCTGGCTATCTGAACTTCATCAATAAGCCCCCTTGCCCTCAGATTTCTAGTTAGATTCCACCAATCCAAGTCACTAATATGGGATCAGTAAGCAAGAAAAGAGTAAGGACTGGATAGTTACTACCCAGATCCCTCCTTGTTGAGTCACAGAGGGCAGTCCCTAAGGGAATATTGTTGTGTCAAGCAGCTGTCTCCACATACTCTCCAGGTTTTGGTAACCCCTCCCTCCTCTTGCTCCCTCAAGATTAGGGGTAGAAAATGTTTCCCTCTAGTTGCTAATACTGGAATGGAAAAATCCATTCCTTGCTGGTTTCCCTCAATCATACCATCTTTGTAAAAAGTCCCTTCATTTAACTTTTTTAGTTTATGAGTGCCAACATTTTCCTGTGGGGACTAATGTAAGACCATTATTTTATTAGGGATGTACAAGTGATAAAGTCTGGGTGATTTTACACAAGGCCAAAATCAGATTTTCATTTTAGAAAGATTATCTTAGTAACCTTTTTGAGAATGACTTTAAACCTACTGCCTCAGTTTAGTGTTATCATGATGTCAAGTGGAAGAACAGTCACAATGTCTGTGGTGTAATGAAAGGAGGTCCAACCATGAGGTCTAGATGAGACAAAAGACACAATAAATAGGAAACTGTAGACCAGAAGGGTCCAGAAAGAATAGATTCTATCAGTTCAAAGAGGTAGATTCTTTACAGTGAATCTATCATAGCAATGGCCTTAATATCTCATTCTGTTGAATGATTTTTCAATTGATATAATGACTTTCTCATGATATAAGGCTTAGTTGATAGAACATTTATATTAGGTAGGTAAAGAATACCAGAAGTTATAGAACTTAACAGATTGAGTCTTGCACATTCTGCTATAATTTTAAAATGTAATAGTCAATCATCTGTTAAGTGTGTATAAAGCTTACCTAGATATCATATGGTACAGTATAAATAATTTCACTTGAACCAAAATCTTCACTTATTAGCTGTGTGGTAACTGGCAATTAAATATAGTTTATATGAAAAGACTTTAAATATATATAAAGGTGGTTTATATGAAAGGATCCTGTAAATTATAATTCAGATGAAATATAAAATATTATTTGTATGTTGTAAGTAAGTTTTGCTGGCAAGAGCAGCCTGTAAATATCCTTTTAGTTATTATTTTAAAAACAGAAAGTAGATTGGTGTTTGCCTACATAACTGCAGGGCTGGGAAATGGGGAGTGACTGCTAATGAGGATGTTAGTTTCTTTTTGGGATGATGAGAATTTTCTAAAATCAACTGTGGTAAGAGTTGCAGCATTCTGAAAATATGCTAAAAACTATTGAATGGCAGAATTTAAAAAGGCTAATTGAATAGTATGTGAATGTATTAGTATGAATAGTATAATCACAGTAATGTCAATTTATTATTTACATCACTAATAATATTTATAAAAGAATCTATCATGTGAGATATAAAAGCTTATTAAACAAAACAGAGATCATCTGGTTTTTAAAATATAACAGCTTATTAAGCTGTTATATTTTTAAAAGTTGTTATATTAAAAGCTGATAAAAGATACACGCTACAGATTATGCAGAAAGATGATATGTCCCCATGAGCTACTAAATCATTACAAATAAAGAAGAAAAATTACAAGTTGAAAAGGACTTAAAAGCTCCAACCAAATCAAATTTTGTTCACAAAATATCTGCTTGTAGGTTTTCAGCACAGAAGCTGTTCCTAACTTTGTAAAACTGCATGTCCTCCATTTGATGTTTTCATTAAAAATTTATTTATGAAACATGCAATAGTCATAACAGGATCTAAATTTCAAAGAGAAGAGAACTAAGATTGAATTTCATTTTCTCCTTACTGAGGAGTTAGGATTTTTAATCAGTTATAGTGTCTCCAAAAATGTAATTTAATACTTGAGACTAACCTATAAATCACTGTATACTTTTAAAATAACATCAAATAACCTCACTTCATATAATTTTAAGTCTTGCAAACATAAAAATATAGCATGATAGATGATTAAATAGATACCACAAAAATAAAATCATAATTTATATTATTCACATCACTAGTAATTAATACTATCCATAAAATAATCTGTATCATGTAATATATAAAAGCTTATATAAGTCACAGATCAGTTACCAAAATGCTGTGTTAAAGTAGCTCAAAATACTGTACCTTGTAGTTCCCAGACTTTCAGAGGCGTCATTTGTTTATTACTTTCAATCAGGTATTTTTGGAAGGCTGTCAGATTATCTCTAAGATCCGAATATATTTCTCTGCATTAAAATATTAAGTGATGTTAAATAGCATCACCTATCACAAGCCATTATACACATAGCATTTTTTTGAAATTATACATTCCAAGTAATTAGACACAAATGAATCATTCATCATTAAGATAATCATAAACAGTGATACAGCTATATTCACAGAACTTAATGATGAAGATATATAGGTCTCTTATTAAATATATGAAACAAAACAAAATCTGGAGGAACATACTCTCAATTGCTAGTGTTACTCATAAGCGATGCAAGGATGAGGGCAGAATTATGTTTTCCTATAATATGCTTCTTTAACATTTTATCAATTGCAAGCATCACTTTTATAATTGAAAATAAAAACTACTTTATAAGGAAAGACAAAAATGCCACATATACTCTTAAGAGTTTATTTCTAAAAAGCTCCATCTTTGATTCTTATAAAAAACTAAAATAAGATAATTTTACTCATTGTTAAATATCTCTAGGCATCATTTAGAGGGAGCCAAATAATAATGTAGTAGAATGGTATTTTACTATACATACAATCTAAACTATAATCTTCTTTCCTCTATCACTCGTGAAATCAAGACATGGTGCCATTTCAGATTTAAATGGATATAATTATTCAAAAAAAACCTTTACTATCAACACAACTTATAAAACACACATTTTCTATTACTATCATACTTTAAGTTCAGGAATGCAGGTGCAAAACAGGCAGGTTTGTTACATAGGTATATACATGGCATGGTGGTTTACTGCACCCATCAACCCGTCGTCTACATTAGGTATTTCTCCTAATGCTATCCCTCCCCTAGCCCCGCCAAGCCCCAACAGGCCCTGATGTGTGATGTTTCCCTCCCTGTGTCCATGTGTTCTCATTGTTCAACACCCTCTTATGAGTGAAAACATGCAGTGTTTGGTTTTCTGTTCTTGTGTTAGTTTGCCGAGAATGGTGGTTTCCAGCTTCATACATGTTCCTGCAAAAGACATGAACTCATCTTTTTTATGGCTGCATAGCATTCCATGGTGTATATGTGCCACATTTTCTTTACCCAGTCTATCACTGATGGGCATTTGGGTTGGTTCCAAGTCTTTGCTATTGTAAACAGTGCCACAATAAACATATGTGTGTATGTGTCTTTACAGTAGAATGATTTAAAATCCTTTGTGTATATACTCAGTATTGGGAGTGCTCGGTCAAATGGCATTTCTGGTTCTAGATCCTTCAGGAATTGCTACACTATCTTCCACAATGTTTGAACTAATTTACACTCTCACCAACAGTGTAAAGGCATTCCTATTTCTCCACATCCTGTCCAGAATCTGTTGTTTCCTAACTTTTTAATCAACATTCTAACTGGTGTGAGATGGTATCTCATTGAAAATAAATATTTTCTTTTTTCTTTTTGAGATGGAATCTTGCTCTGTTTCGAGGCTGGAGTGCAGTGGTGTGATCTCAGCTCACTGCAACCTTTGCCTCCTGGGTTGAAACGATCCCCTGCCTTTCAGCCTCCTGAGTAGTCAGGACTACAGGTGCACACCACCATACCCACTTAGTCTTTTGTATTTTAGCAGAGACGAGTTTTCACCATGTTTGCCAGGATGGTCTCCATCTCTTGACCTTGTGATCCACCTGCCTTGGCCTCCCAAAGTGCTGGGATTACAGCACAAGCTACCACGCCTGGCCAAAAATGCATATTTTCAATAGTCAATAGACAAGAAGACTTTGAAAAGGGAAATAAAAAATAAATACAGAATATAGATACAGAAATATGTTATTCTTATAGTTATAAATATATATACTACAATGTCAGTATCTTACAGGTTTATTACAATGTGGGAACACATTTTGAAAACTAATCAAGATAAAGACTGCTGTGATAGTAAAAGGACAATGGCATTTCTTCCAAAGAGAAGCTCACTATGAATTAAACAAACATTTCCTTTTTCAATATTTTAAGTTATAGTTCATATTTGATTGTAATCCTGGTAATTTTCACTGCTAAATTTCTTTATATAATTTAGGCAACATATGTATTATTCATACAGTATCTCAAAGCAAAAGATTTTGCTTTGAAATGAGCAATCAGTTGAGTCACTGTGGAAGAACCAACTTTGAGTATTCACTTTTCAAAATGAATAACCATATGAATTTTAGAATATATTCTTCCAATTCTGTGAAAAATGACATTGGTAGTTTGACAGAAATAGCATTAAATCTGTAGATTGGCAATATGGCCATTTTAATGATATTGAATCTTCCAATCCTTGAGGATTGAATGTTTTCCCATTTGTTTGTGTCATCGTGTCATGTATGATTTCTTTCAGCAGTACTTTGTAGTTCTCCTGCGGAGATGGTTCACCTCCTTGGTCAGATGTATTCCTATACCCTTTTTTGTGTGTGTGGCTATCATAAATGGGATTGCCTGCTTGATTTGGCTCTCAGCTTGAACATTATTGGCTTTTAGTAATGCTACTGATTTTTGTACATTGATTTTGTATCCTGAAACTTTACAGAAGTTGTTTATCAGTTCTAGGAGCTTTATAGTGGAGTCTTTAGGGTTTCCTAGGCAAAAGACATGAACAGACACTTCTCAAAAGAAAACATATAAGCAGCCGACAAACATGAAAAAATGCTTAACATCACTAATCATCAGAGAAATGCAAGTTAAAACCACAATGAGATGCCCTCTCATACCAGTCAAAGTGGCTATTATTAAAAAGTCAAAAAGTTACAGACACAGGCAAGGCTGAAGAAAAAAGGGAATACTTATACACTGTGGGTGGGAATGTAAATTAGATCAGCCACTGCAGAAAGCAGTTTGGAGATTTCTCAAAGAACTTCAAATTACCACTCTACCCAGTAATCTCATTCTGGGTATACACCCAAAGGAAAACAAACCATTCCATCAAAAAGACACATGCACTTATATGTTCTTCACATATAAGCTCTATTCACAGTATCAAAGACAAGGAATCAACCCAGGTACCATTAGTGGCAAATTGGATAAAGACAATGTGGTACATATACACCATGGAATACTATGCAGCAATAAAAAAAGAACCAAATCCTGCTCTTTGCAACAACATGGATGCAGCTGTAAGCCATTATCCTAAGTGAATTAACACAGGAACAGAAAACCAAATACTCTATGTTCTCATTTATAAGCGAGAACTAAGCATTGGGTATACATGGACATAAAGATGGGAATAATAGACACGAGGGACTTTTAGAGTGGGGAGATGGCAAGGGCTGCAAAATCATCAGTTGGGTACTATGCTCACTACCTGGGTTACAGGATCATTCATACTCCTAAACTCAGCATCACACAATAAATCCATGTAACAACCTGTGCATGTATGCCCTGAATCTAAAATAGAAGTTGAAAGAAAATAAAATAAAAATAAAAATAAAAATGAATAGCTAAGTGTTCCAAGTGATCTCTGGAGAAAATGCAATTTAATCTCATAAAAAGTTATATTTATGTAATCCCAGCACTTTGGGAGGCTGAGGCAGGTGGATCACGAGGTCAAGAGATCAAGACCATCCTGGTCAGCATGGTGAGACCCCGTCTCTACTAAAAATACAGAAAATTAGCTGGGCATGGTGGCGCGTGCCTGTAATCCCAGCTACTCAGGAGGCTGAGGCAGGAGAATTGCCTGAACCCAGGAGGCGGAGGTTGCGGTGAGCCGAGGTCGCGCCATTGCACTCCAGCCTGGGTAACAAGAGCGAAAATCCGTCTCAAAAAAAAAAAAAGTTATATTTAAAAGAGAAAAGAATTATGAATTACAGGACATTCAGATAGTAGAAAATGTAATAAAAATGTACTGTTAGCTGCTAAATTAATACCTTACTTAGAATAAATCCACTTTGTAAGATGTATTAACATTTTAAGGCCACTAGTATACTGCTTGGCCAATATACTTTAAAAAAGGTAACACAGTTATCCATATAAATTAGTGTTGTCTCCAAAAATGTCACCCTTACTGTATACAGTTATCTACTTATCATCAGCAGAACTAACCTGAGTCCTTCATAAATAACTGTAAGACTAAACAAGAACTAAAGGTGTTAATAAAAATATTTCTTTAAATAACTTTGCCTAAATAAAGAAATAACAAACTTTCCCTTATAAATAAGGGAAAATGTAAAAGGAAAATATAATATAAAGGAATAATAAAATGTAAAGGAAAAATAAAATGACAGCCATCCCCATTCACAAGTATTCAGAGAGCACTCACCATCCTATTCCTTGTCTTCAACCAGCATGGCAGGAAAAAAAAGGGTGGTAAAATTTTAATTTTTGATAGGTTACTTTTATGTGTATATGAAATGGTAATCTGTAGCACAGAAATTTAGAGAAATAAATGTTTTCTTTTCTTTTGGGCTATACATTTGTTCAAGATTCAATATTACCAATGATTTTTGTTAACCCACTATATCTGTAAAGTTCTAATTCTATAAAGTTTTAGTTTTCTGTCAGAACTTTACCAACTCCTGTTTCTCCAAGCACACTAAGTCAAATTTACCATATGAAAAGTGATATTAAATATCTCATACTTTTTGAATGTCAGAAGTATAAGAACTGTCTTAAAAATGAAATGAATAAAAATATTTATCGCAGCTTGCCAATTTATTTAAGAAAAAACTAAAAATAACACTGAGTTTAAAAATAGTAACTATTGGCTAACATTATTACTACAATATTTATTTTTAAAAATAATGATTTACTCAATTTATTTCCTCAAAAGAAATTCAATTTAGGCAGTATTTTGTGAACTATTTTAACAAATAATAACTTAATAATTATAATTTTCATTTGTTTTATTCATGTTTAACAAACACATTAATGTTTATTATAGGCCATGAATTGTTGTAAGTACTTTATTACTAAATTATATTATTCTCTCCAAATTTAGAAAGTTCCTAAACAAGTAGGTACTATGCCAATTATTTACTTGACTTTTATGATAACTGTGTTAGAATGGATTAAAAAATTACTACTTTCGAGTATGGAAAATCATAATTTATATGGCAAAAGCACCATATAGTGCAAATGAAGAACAGTATCAAAAAATGCTACAAGGCTAACAAATATTTAACAATTTATTTGTTGCCTTATATTTGTTGTTTCATGTCTTTGGGGTTTAGGCCATTCTATAAATGCTGAACTTAATTTATGGGATAAATAATTTATTCTGAGTAAAAGGAGAAAAAGATGCATATTTAACAGCAACCAACCACAGGTATCAAAAGTCTTATATTTTGAATTTTCTAGTTATCCCAGGGATACTATCTAAGTTCTAGAAATAAACTCCCACTCTCATAACAGTTTTATCTAAAGAAAAAATTTCCATCTTTAAGATTAATATGAAAATAAACTTCAACCGTAAATAATTCAATATATGGCAAAGGTTTCAGAATTTTTATAAAAAGCTGTTATAATTAACAAAAAAGGTATACACAGCAAGAACAAATGAGCACAAGTTAGGAATAAGCAATTTACCCAAGAAGAAATTCTAAGACTAATAAACATGAAAAAAAGTTAATCCTTGCAATAATAAATTGCCAAGAGTTGACTGTTCTTGGAGACAAATTATGAAATGGGTTTAGTCCAGTGAAATGAATACAGAATTTTTTAAAAAAAGGAACACCAATTCACCTATTAAACTAAAAAATTTTTAAAACAGTATGAGTGATTATTAAAGTTCTGGGAAATGAACACATTTCACATCCTGGAGTGATGTACATGTTAGTACAATTTTATGAGGGCAATTTATAAGCATGAATCAAAAATTTCAAGAAGTATACATACTTTATCAATTTTTTTCCTGAAATTTGTGCTAAGGAAAATCTGCAATGCACACAAACTAGTATACACACACACACACAAAATTAAATGAAAAAGTAGGGAAAGAATTTAAAGTTCAGTTCTATGAGACTGTTTCGACAAATGATGGACTGTCCACAAGATGTGAAAACACAGTGATCCACTCTGGTTCTACTGTGCAAAACAATATGCTGTGTAGACATTTATTTGTTGCTATAAAAATATTCACAGAAAAACTGGAAAAACATACTGTACATCAAAACAGTATAAGCGTTATCTCTTTAGTTGTGAAATTAGTGATTGTTTTTCCAATGTTGTGCTCTTTGCTTTCCATAGCTATTTGATATCAGCCTTGTGTTACTTCCGTAATAAAAACAATTGTGTCTATATGTACTTTCTTTTTCTTTCTTTTTTTTAAATAAGCCTGCAGCACCCAGTATTCCCAAAGGTCTCCCATCCAAGTACTAACCAGGCCCGACACTGCTTAGCTTCCAAGATCAGGCGAGATCGGGTGTGTGTGTACTTTCTACATAAAACAAAGGTGAAACATATGGCAAAACAGTATATCAAATTAATTCCTTAAAACAAACGGGTATAATAATAACATTAATTTAATTTCCATTCAGACTTACTTTAGTTTCCCAAAGAGAAATCCTTGAACTTCATTTGCTTCAGTCTCATCCTCTACAGTAGTATTAGTCACAGCTACATTTTGGAAACAAAACCAAAATAAAACAAAAATATTTTCAGACTAGGAAAAGAACACGTAATCAAAAATCAGAAGAACTTGGCTGGGTATGGCGGCTCATGCCTGTAATCCCGCACTTTGGGAGACCAAGGTGGGCAAATCACTTGAGATATGCGAAACCAGCTTGACCAACATGGAGAAAGCTTGTCTCCACTAAAATTAGCCAGATGTGGTGGATGTAGTCCCAGCTACTTGGGAGGCTGAGTCAGAATGGCTTGAGCCTGGGAGGTGGAGGTTGCAGTGGGCCAAGATCGTGCCACTGCACTCCAGCCTGGGGGACAGAGTGAGATTCTCTCTCAAAGAAAAACAAAAAAAAATAGAACTTACAATGAAATGAAATTCCACTTGTTTTACCTTGTTTTTCCTTCATGGACCAGATTAATATGTATATATGCATGTGTACAGGCTTACATTCCTGAGTGTGAGCTTTCTTTTTAAACACGCTTGGATTGATTAAATACTTAGCAACCATAATAAAGTGCTTTATAGATTAGTTAAAAGTCAGGTTCTATTTTATAATCAGAAATGGTAAGCCAAAGGTCCTGCAACAAATGCTGGGTTTAGCTTTTAAGTGAGACAGGAGATCCAAATCCTAAGTTTAAGTTTAAATGTAAGTTCCTGTGTATTTCCACCACCTTTAAAGATAATCAAGGAATCTTTACAAAGACACCAAAACTCATGGCCCCAAAGAATAAAGATATAATATTTTATAGTCATTTTCCCTCTCCCTTACTTACCAAACAATTATCATACAGTGTGGTTGCTAGAATATGTGAAGGTGCTTTAGGATTATAAGGACTGTGATCTTTTACAGTGTGTGGAGTGGCTCTGTATCAGAATAAATTAGAGCTCAGCAATTATGCTCACCCTTCTTACTTTTCCAAAGCTCTGGATCTCTAGGACCATAAGTAAAAACAACCCTGATCATTTGATCTAGTTTGCCTTTTCCTTTTGTTTGTTCATTCATTCACTGGGCGAACATTTACTGACTGCTCACTATGAGGTGTCTCTGACAGGATAGACACCAGGAACAACAGAGACACAACAGATAATAAACCATGCTTGGCAGACAAGGAGAGAGACAAATACACAGACAACTTCAGTAGAGTGTGTAAACTTTTCTAAAAGAAGGCACAGAAAGATATGGGATATAGAAAGGAGAAGAGCATTCTCTAATAGAGCAGCAAGATAGGCAGCCATCTCAGAGGCACAGACCGATATATTTGAGTCTTAAAAGATGTGAAGTCTATAAACAAAATGAAAGAAGCCAAGACAGTGGTAGGCAGAAGGAATAGTAGATGCTAAGAGATGAAAGTAGGAGAGGTCATAAAGACTTCCCATGGAGCTCATGCATAAAGGCATCCAGGGAACAGAAAACTATTCTAAACAGTAAATAGTTCAGTGTTGCAGACAAGAGGAGGCAAAGAAGAGAGGGCTGAAGGAGAGCAAAAATACAGAAAAAAAAATCCGACTGTGAAAAGCTTTGTTTGCTATATTCTTACACCTGAATTTATGAGAGAGGTTCAGGGAGCCACTAAAGGATTTAACCAGCAGAATCACAGTCAAATTTTCATCACCGGAAGTTCATTTGGAAAGTACTGGATAAATCTGTTTTGAGGGGTGGTGAGATTGAGGGCACTGAAGACCAAAGATAAGAGAAATGGCTAGTTGACAGTCTGATACATGTATACAGAGAGAAAAAAGGAGAACTGCTCTAAGGAGTGGCAACTAGAATTGACAGGCGAAGAGATATTCCATGTGTGCGTAAAAGGTTGGTGACAGAATGCAGTGCATAATACAGACGACATTACAAGCAAAAGAATAGCTAAAAATGCCTTAAATTACTATTGTGATTATAAGATACTAAATTATAAAGCATTGTAGAGCTAAACATAAGCTATACAGAAATATATAAAATAGGAGTATTATTTTTACTATACTTTTTCAGTAACTCTTTAACCAAAAATATTTAAATTACAGTAATACAGATTTTTATTTGAAGCACATTCAGTTGGAAGAGTTAGAGAGAGGTCTCAGATCAAGGCAGGGCCTCTATATGAAAAACAAAATTGAAGCAGGAGCCTCATCCGAGTGCATACAAAAGAATAAACTTAAAATTCTTAGCCAAGAATCAAGCATAAATAAATTTCACATGAACCAGGTAATAAACAGCTTCCGTAAGTATTCTGAGAACTTCTTCAGTTAAGTCTCCAGAGTCTCTTCATCTGCAGCATACATTTAGTTCATGGAATACAGATAGATATTGATTGGTAGATCACAAACCTAATGAATCTACCTCATCTAAACAATTCACAGGCCTCTCTCATCCTGCTTCAGGAAAGAAAAAAAAAAACCTACCATCCTAATTTAATTATAAATATTTCAGACAAAACATCCTTACATGGGCCAGACCCAAATGCCTATGCCAGTCACCTCTAGCAAGAATCAGCCTCATCTATTGCTGCAGTGTACCTTACATATACCATCAATTGTTATATGGTACTGCAATGGTTGGGAACCCATCGGGTGTAAGCAAAATAACATACTATTTCATATTTTGAAATAAATTTTGATAACAAGTAACATTAAATACATTTCTTTCACCTTGAAATTTAATTCCAAATTAAATAAGAACATGTCCATCCCACCTCTAGCCTCAAATGAACATATGTAGGATTATACTCATCAAATTTTTTAAAAACCAAAGTATGTTAAAGACTCCAACTTTTCATTCTACTCAAGTACTGAAACAGAAAACTTACTTTTAACTTGGGTATCATCCAGTGCTTTGTATTCTGTACTCTTAATTGCTAGCTCCACACCATACCCAGATAAGTACATTTTCCGTGAGCTTGGTTTCTGTTCAAACACATTTATTTTATAAAAAGAGAAAATACTTAGTCAAACATCTTGTTTTAAAGTCAGTCACGATGTATTTCGACATAAGGGTAAATGACTAATATTGAAGGCTTTTAATCACTGTGAAATATTTGGGGGTTGTTTACACTCTCTCTAGTCTATCAAGGAACTAGAATTTGGTTAATGACTATTTTGTAAAAACTTTGTCATGACTACTGCTTTATTTTTCTTTAATTTTACAACTAAAATGAAAAATATCTGATCTTTTTCTGTTATACCATGAACAGAGGATCCAATACAGACAAGTTTCAACAAAACTGTTCTCCTTTTTGGGGACCCCCAAAAGATTTGCCAAACCAAAAACGCTATTCACTTGCTGGTTGTCTAGACACAGGACAACTACAGTATTGCCAAAAGCAAATACTGGAAAGTAGTGGCAAAGACGACAAAAAAAAAATTTAGTGCCGTGAAATACCTGATTAGAGTTTTATTTCTCAATGATTAAAATATACCAAATGCCACAAATTAATATCTGTTCTTGCAGTAAGGGGGTACAGTTGACTAAAACAGAGTTGTCCAAAACGTTTATGAACAGAATTTTAGTACCTTTAATTTTGTTCTTTCTATAAAAGGCAAATATTAAATGTACTCCTAGAGATTACCTGATCAAGCAAGAGAAGTCACCATATTTTATTCAAAAGGAAGTGACCTGGATGAACACACATAATAGTTTTATGTTTTGTTTTGGGTTGAGACGGAGTCTCACTTTGTTGCCCCGGCTGCAGTGCAGTGGCGTGATCTTGGCTCACTGGAACCTCTGACTCCCAGAGGTTCAAGCAATTCTCCTGCCTCAACCTCCTGAGTAGCTGGGATTACAGGCGTGTGCCACCACGCCCAGCTATTTTAGTAGAGACGGCTTTCAACATGTTGGTCAGGCTGGTCTCGAACTCCTGACCTTGTGATCCACCTGCCTTGGCCTCCGGAAGTGCTCGGATTACAGGCGTGAGTCACCACACCTGACCAATATAGTAATTTTACAATTGTTCCAGCTTCCTGACTAAAATTCTTGTCGGTTGTACTGCAGCCATTATCATTCGGTATATCTCAAGGGGTTAGAAAATCACTTTAACCTAGGGCTCAGCAAACTCCCTGGAAAATGCTATGTGTCTTTGCTTAATTGAGGTTTACACAGGGGCAGTTCTGCATGATGGAGGAAAAGATACAGATTGGAGGGAAGGAGAACTTTAGTTGTGCATTATTCTTTGTATTCTCGTCTTTCCTCCCTGAACTTTCTACCAAGCTGTAATGATATGCATATGGCCAGAGTGACTGTTCTTTTGGCTGTTCTATTTCTAAATAAAAATATGTAAAAATTAGCTTCAGATTTGCAGACAAGTAGTTAACATTGCTACCTACACTAAAGTTTAATTTGCTTATTTCTCAGGCCCATGTTATATATGAAAGACAGCATGTAGAAACTGGGTTATTTATAACTCTAGTAATCTAACAATGTTGAAAATTTTTTAGAGTTTTCTATTTCATAAAAGCTCAATTTAAAACTACATTTTGAATATCTACTCAAAAGACCAATCAGTTGGTGGCTAAGTGAATTTAAACTATAAGGCTTCATATCTTGTTACAGTTCATAAAATAAATGTAATTTTGCATAACCAATTTACATTATCAGTTCTGGAAAGTTATTAGCTCTTCAGTAATAAAAATGTTTCTTAAATTCATATTTACTTTCCTCTTTTGAAAATGTATTGATATAAATTTTGAATTGTAGTTTAGTAAGTTTGGATTTGCAAACCAAACTACCAAATCAATAGGTTAAAAAAAAACAACTTTTGTTTTTCTACTACTTCTTTCCCCCACAAAAAGGCATATGTTAAAAATGTAACATAAATACTTCTATTTTTATTAGAATTACATGTTGACTAGATTTACATTATATTTTGAACATACAAGATGCCATTCATTAAATATAAGGCTATAGTTTGATATTACTAAATGAGATAGTTAATATGATTTCACACAAGCATACTTAATGGTCACTTTCTCTAAAGAACAACTTGAGACAGACTCTCAATAGATAGGCATAGCTCCCCAGGGGGATGTTAGAATCACTTGGGAGAACATTTTAAAAAGACAAACATGTGCAATTAACAACAACAAGAGTTTAAACTGCACAGGTTTACTTATAAGTAGATTTTTCTCCCACCTTGTCACCTGAGACAGCAAGTTCAACCTCTCCTCTTCCATTTCCTCCTCGGCCTACTCAATATGACTACAAGGATAAAGACCTTTATGATGACCCACTTCTATTTAATGAAAATATATTTTCTCTTCCTTATGACTTTCTTAATAACATTACTTATCTAGCTCACTTTATTGTAATTACAGAATATAATACATGTGGCATAAAAAATATGTGTTAATTGACGTGTTATCAGTAAGGCATTCAGTCAAAAGGCTATTCGTACTTAAATTTTGGTGGAGTCAAAAGTTATACATGGATTTGTTTTAACAATGTGAGGGGTCAGTTTGTCTAACCCATAGGTTTAAGGGTGAACTGTACTTGTATCTCCCACTCCCATTCCTATTCTCATTTGCCTCTCATCTCTGCCTTACCTGATAGAGAATCATAGAAGTAGTCTTAAGGTACTACTGCTATTGATGGGAATATATCCATCCTTTTAGCAAAGTAGTTGGGAAAAATTGAGAATTACTGGTATAAGAGAATTAGACAATATAAAATGTTTTGAGTGCACACTCTAGACCCATGACTCTCTATCCTCTTTTATATTTAGTTTTTTTGAAAACACTTTCATCACATTTAACATAAATCTGTTATGTTACATCTCTTGCCACTAAAATTGAAGTTCTCTGGGAATAAGGAATGTTTCTCTCTTATTCACTGCTACATGAACAATGCTTGGCACAGAGGCATTCAAATATTTATGGAATTAATGACTTAAGTATGTAATCATTTACAAATTGTACACACACCCACAATTTCTCTTTATATTTCACTTTACAGATAATCTTTATATAGATTATGCAAATATCTATATGCCAACACACTCAAGAATATTTAAAGTTTTCCACTTCTGCTAAACAGCAATAACCCCCTCAAAATTATACAATGAACAATTAAAACTGAGAATGTGAGGAACGCTCAGGAAAAAATACATTTTATATGATGTTGTTGTAGGGCAAGTCCCTGAAAGATCTTGGCAACCCAACTCTTCCTCGTTTTCTCACTTGTAATTCTCAGAGTAACTGTAGAATGATGCGCTGGAAATGCCAGAAATATGAAGAAATTGGCCAGTAAAGCTAAGCTCTGTTCCCATCCCTCCTAGAACAGGAAGTCTTACAATGCTTTAGCAAAGCTCATCAAGTTGCTCCAAGGTATAAAATCCAGGGCAGAGCAGGCTTTCAGGGTTCCTCAGCTGTGGTGCAACATGAAGGACGTGCACGTGAGACTCCATCCATCCTGGGCAGCTATCCTAAGTAATGGGGGTTCAGTTTGGCATGAATCCTTAGGTGTCTGTTGTCCCTTGCTGCCTATCTGTGAGTAATAAAGTTGCTTCACTAAACTTGCGTGAGTGTTCTGTCTCACCAGACTCATGCCAGTGAATCGATACCAGTACACAGTATTGGCAAGGAGTTCACAGTCCTCCCCTGGGATTGATACCAGTGCACAGGAACTGTGCATCATAAATTACCAAATACATGAAACAAAATTAAGATACTGAAATAAGCTACTTATCTTCTATCATCAGTACTAAGCACAGTGCCCAACTTACAGGCATTTATTGGAGATCATTATAAAGACCATAAATTAATAACTCCTTTCCATGTGAAGTCTCCTTTGCAAGGTGATCTTGCCACTTCTTCCCAAGAAATTGAGTCTATTCCTCCATTCTTTTGAATCTGGCTGGCTTGTGACTTGCTTTGATTAATATAAGGTGGCAGAAGTATCACTGTATGAGTTCTTGGGCATAGGCCTTAAGATGTATTGCAAGTTCTGTTCTTTTCTTTTTGGGACCCTAAGCCATCATGATGTGAAGAGTCATAATCTATTGGAAGATGAAAGACCACATGGAAAAGACCAAGAAACTCCAGTTATCACACCTGAACTGTACACAGGTCTGTCAGAATAACTCAAATCCCCAAGCTCTAGTCTAGTACCTAATGACCCCCACTGCATGAACAAGACCAGCAGAAAATCTGTCCCAACCGTCAAACTACAGAATAAATAGAAACAGTAAGTCAATATTGCCTTAACCCACTACATTTTGAACAGATTTGGTACAAAGCAATTCAGGCACAGATACAGCAACTAATAAATATGCATGGAGGAAAGAAGGAAGGAAGAGATGACAGATTCCCCTCACAAACTTCCAATTCAAAGAATACCTAGTTTCCTCATAAATACTGGCAACTTACATAAATACTTCATCCTTCTACAATCATACATTACTGCTTTGAGAAGTTACAAGGTAGCTTCAATCAGCACTAAGAAACTTAAATTTTGTATTCCCAATGTAAGCAGCAAAGCTATGGAACCACTGCAACTCTAAGGAAAAAACAAATTTATTTTTAAATTTTTAATTATTATGCATACAGAAAGGTTGCACATATTTATGGGGTATATGTTATAATTTTATAGAACATACAAAATGTAATGATCAAATCAGGGTACTTGGGATATCTATCACCTCAAACATTTTAGCTCTTTCTTTGTGTTAGGAACATACCAATTTTTGAACTCATAGAGGGTTAATGGGTATAAAAATGCAGTTAGGTAGAATAGGCTCTAGTGTTGAGCAGCACAATAGAGTAACTATAGTTAATAATTTATTCTATATCTCAAAACAAGGAAAAATAATTTTATAAGCATTACATCCTTATTAAAGAGCCACCTAGTTAGACCTCCTCTCTCTTGGAACTAGAATGTCTCATCTTTCTCCTTCTTCAGTGGACAGATATCAGAG